TTGACCCTGAGGACGCGGGCTCCGTCACGTCTGACCCCGAGGGTGCGGGCTCCGTCTCGCCCGACCCCTCGGGCGCGGACTTCGTCTTGCCAGACCCCTCAGGCGTGGGTTCCGTCATGGCTGACCCTGAGGGTGCGGGCTCCGTCTCGCCCGACCCCTCGGGCGTGGACTTTGCCTCGCCAGACCCCTCGAAAGGGGGATTCCGCCTCGCCCGACAGGGGTTGGTACCGCCTCCAACCACTACGGGTCTAAGAGTACGAACCCAGGGTTAAACTTCTGACACTAGAAAGGGAATAGGCGCGTCTTGACGTGACCCACGACCACGATGGGCCATACGTGAGGACTCACGTCACCAACAGTGTCAGGCGTGCCGACGCTATGCTACCTAATCCCCGTGCGACTTCCAACGGGGATATCTGCTAACCATGCCGCCCGTCGGGACGAAATGGAGCGCCACGACCGGCTGACGACGCCCACGTATAGTGCCAGTGATGAACAGGGTCGCGACATGGAGCCGTCCCAGTCATCATCTACTAGACCGGCGGGACCCGCGTAAAGGAGATGAAGGGCGTCGTGACCCCGGATGCCTTCTTCCTCCTCACTTCTCTCTCTCTCTCTCTCTCTCTCTCTCTCTCATGTAACCTGCACCTTCCCCTTCAACTATAAAAGGGGAAGCAGGACGCCCCATGAAGGGCACGGCTCAACGCTGAACGGTTTAACGAGTTCGACTAGACTCAACTCTATTCAATCCTTCCATCAAAGACTTGGGACCTTCTCCCTCTCTCGCCCGTTTGTAACCTCTACTAACAAGTGCCGGTAACATGAGCAACCTCAAACTGGACGTAGGGAGATTCCGCCCGAACCAGTATAAACCCTTGTGTCCTCCGAGCACACCATCCGGGACAGACACACAAACATAAATTTACTAGTCGGCGGTTCGAAACACCGACAAAATGTATGAATTAAGATTTTTCATCATTCATTGGATCATAGAGCATCATGCGTAAATTTCATTAGGTGTGTTTAAAAGTATCTCTGGCAAAAAAAAACTGTTGCAACCTGGGTTACATTATGTATTTATCTCTATTGCATAACTGGACTGCTACTCTATTTTCTTTTGTTTGTTAGCCAAGTACAACGGAGACTCTTGATTAGACTCATGGGGAACGAGTTTAGCTAATATAATTAACAAAATTGTTGAGACTCATGAATCCACGGTAGAATGTGTAATGGGCTCCCAACCGCCAGCATATTCTTTACTATGTGCTTTTGGTAGTTTAGGAGTTTGAGTAGAATGGAGACCTGTAAGCCCCAAAGGCCATCTTCAGCTATTGATCTTTCTATTGGAAGAGGTGATTTTTTTTTTAGAGAAAAGGTTTGTGCGGCTTTATTGAACCACCAAAGCATAATTCGATTTACATTCAGCATAGCATATTTGAGGTGTGTGTGCCATTGAAAGAGGGGATATAGAAGGCATTTTGAAAATGGATCATATTGTTGCCTAACATTGTTTCTATCGTATGTATCTGTATCGTCCGACACCCATCCTCTGAGCGCTTCGTGCTGTTTGGCCTAGGGATTTATCGTGTCCATCTTCCTTTGCTCTTGCTTGTGTTGAAGAAATTCGAAACTCCCCTCTAGCATTTTTATTAATATACTCGAACTGCATCCTCATGTAGGCTGTCTGCGTGCTCCTGAAGTGAGAGGATGTTGCCTTGCTTATGAAGTGAGAGGATCAAAACAGAACAATATGAAATGGGGAATAGCTGTTCAAGAGAGACATCCAGGGAGGAAGGCATCATTAGCTGTTCAAGGGACGACAGGGGAGACAAGGCAGACACAGAAAGAGCGTGTACAATCATATGTGCCTTTGGTAGAGAGTCATATATAGGAGTATATGTAGCTTTGCTATTGTTACTGTTTTTTTCCGGCTCATACATCTATCTATTGAAGTACACACATGGATGACTTAGCTTTCGTTTGTTGATCTAGTTTTTTAGTTTTATGATTTATTTTAGTTTTAAGATTTATTTTTTCTAGATGCCGCCATAGCGTTAGCACGGACAATATCCTCGTGCAAGATAGGTTGTGTTTTAGTCTCAGCGCACAGCTTTTGTAGGCGTTTTGATTTTGTTGTTTAGTATTTCTGTAAGTATGCCGAAGCATGTAAGCGGGGATAGCTCAGTTGGGAGAGCGTCAGACTGAAGATCTGAAGGTCGCGTGTTCGATCCACGCTCACCGCACTGTAATTTTTTATTTTTAAACCTTTTTCCAGCAGTTAACAGCTTCCTGTGACTTCTTGTTACCTTTTCCTTTTTACAGCAGTTAACAAGCTTCCTTTGACTTTTTTTTCACCAGTAGACAAGCTTATTTTCGTTTTAATTTTTTTTATCATTTTTCAAGCAGTTAAAGCTTCCTTTGACCTTTTTCTTTTTCCAGCAGTTAACAAGCTTCCTTTGACTTTTTTTTTACCTTTTTCTTTTTCCAGCAGTTAACAAGCTTCCTTTGATTTTATTTCACCAGTAAACAACTTCTTTTTTTTCACCAGTAAACAAGCTTATCTTTTTTTATTTGTTTCCTTTTTCCGGCGGTTAACAAGTTTCCTTTGACTTTTTTCACTGTAAACAAGCTTTTTTTTATAAAGCTCTGCCACGTTCGGAGTTGTGTTCTTTTCACAGGAATTTTAATTCCTTTGGTTTGACTATCAAACCAGGTCAACAAACAACCCTTTTTTTAATAAGGCTCAAGCACCTTGTGGAATGGTTTTTTTCACAGTAATTCTAAAGTATTGGTCTTCCTGGTTTTGCTGCCATAATGGGGCGTTTAGAGAGAAGTAACGGAGGCTATGGAGGAAACAAGGCCTAGGCACCATTTGGAATTGATTTTTCTAGACACTATAAGTACTGGGTTTGCATACTTAGGACTTTAAACATTGGCTTCACAAAATTATGCTTATATTCTTGACGCCTAAATTAGTATGACACTATGCCTTATTTTCTTATTTCTAGTTTCTTTTGTAATTTGTTGGCACCTAAACTGACCATATTGGCCATCCCTCATTTAATCATGTATTTGTCGCCCAAACCGTTGTCATCGCCGCCTCCCAGTCGTACCACATACCAATTCGACAAGGTGGCGACCTTCGGCTTGGACTACGCGTCAGAGTCGTTGGCAATCTTCAGGAGGACTAAGCGGCGGCGGCGGTCTTCATGACTGGGATATGCAGCGGCATCGATCTTTGGCACGACTAGGAGGAGAATGACGATGGTCTTCGCCAGACTAGGCGACGTTTCATGTCATGCCGAGGACACGGAGGGCAAGACAAAGTAAAAGAAGGTGGGCGACAATTAGACTCCCAGGTACATGATTAATGAGAAGAGCAAATGGTCATCTTAGGTGCCAAGCAATAAGAAAAAGGATTAAGAAATAATAAATAATAGGTGCCAAGCAATAAGAAAAAGGATTAAGAAATAATAAATAATCTATAATACCATACTAATCAAGGTTAAGCTAATGTTTTTTGTTTGAGGGGGGTAAGCTAATGTTTGGAGTCTAAATATGGGAAGCGTAACGTTTGGAGTCTAAAAAACCAATTTTGTTGGCATAGAGCTCTCTCTATTGGAGTGAAAAGTTTTTGTTTCCTCCGCAAAACACGGGGCTAAAGTTTAGGACGTGCCACATCGGACGTTCGGATGCTAACTAGAGGACTAAACATGAGCTAATTATAATACTAATTGTACAGGAGTAGACTAATTAGCGAGACAAATCTATTAAGCCTAATTAATCCATAAATAACACATATTATTGTAGCACCACATTGTCAAATCATGGGCTAATTAGACTTAATAGATTCGTCTCGTAAATTAGTCTCAAACTGTGGAATTAATTTTATAATTAATCTATATTTAATACTCCAAATTAGTATCAACATCCGATGTAACATAGACTTAAGTTTATGTCCTATTCGCTTGGCTGATAAGCCATGGCTGAAAGTACTGTTGGCTGATTTGTTGTGAGAGAAAAATACTACTCATTACGTGAAAAAGTACGATTTATAAATCAAGCGAACATGCGTTAATCTGTGGAACAAACACCCCTGAAACACATCCATCCTAAACCCGAGGCTTTTGCTGATGGCCGAGGCAAGCAAGCGCACGAGGATAGACGGTGAGAGAGAGAGAGGCCTAGCCATGTAACCGAATCCAGTCATTGGCGTCGGCTCCCAGCCTCCCACTGACCGCGGACGTCCTTCTTGAGGTACCAATCCGACCAACGTGGCTCCAGTGGGGCTTAAATCCAGCTCAACCAAACACTCGATATGCATTCCAAATGCATTTTCCAACCCTCTGTTTTGGTTTAATACTCCTCTACAAAACAGAGCCTAAAGAGTTGAGCAGTGGCCTGCCCGATAGTGTAGCGCCGCTTCAAATGAAAATGAGCATTGCTGTAATAAAAATCACAGTTGAGTTTTGAGAGATTTATGTTCCTTGCACAGTACCTACTCATCTCTATAAAAGGCTGTGTTTAGTTGCAGGAAGTTGGAATTTAGGGTTACTGTAGCACGTTCGTTTTTATTTGGCAAATAGTGTTCAAACATGGATTAATTAGGCTCAAAACGTTCGTCTCGTAATTTTCTACCAAACTGTGCAATTAATTTTTTTTTTCGTCTACATTTAATGCTCCATATATAGACCGTAAACATTCGATGTGACAAGTACTGTAGCACTTTTTTAGAAGTTGGGGTGCAACTAAACAAGGTGAAAGTTTCAAATTTCAGCCAAAAGAACAAACTACTCGACGACAGAAGTTTCTAAACGAATCGTCTTCCACAATCCCATGAGAGGCGCCGCGCAGGTCAGTTCATTCAGTTTTCCCCGAGAAAAAACAGTACCACCCCTACAACACTGGCATACAGTACAAAAGCTCGGACGGGACGCTCCGACAACCCTACGTCATTTACACACAGCTGAGAGAGTCTCTGAGACTGGGCCTATCGCTTCCTACTGCCTCCCATTCCTTCCCATCCCCTTCACTTCCTGCCCCCGCGCTTCCCGCCGCCGCCCTTTGCCCTCTTGGACGGAGGGGGAGACGGGGGGCGCGGCCGCGCGTTTCGGTGGCCTGCCGACGTTCCTCCTCCCCGGCGGGGCTTTCTTGGACCCGGACCCACCCGCGGGCTCCTTCTTGCCCTCGCCCTTCCCGGCCTTCTTCTGCTCCGCCTGGGCCGAGAGCTTCAGCGTCTCCAGCAGCGACACGCGCTCCGTCGACGGCGCCGAGCCGCCTTGCTTCATCCGGTTGAGGAAGTTGACAGCGTTGCGCTTCTTGGCGACGCCGGCACCACCGCCGCCTTTCTTGTCAGCAGCAGGCTGCTTCTTGGCCTCCTCGGGCGGCGCGTCGCTGTCCGAGCCGTTGTCCGCCGCAGCCTTCCGGACAGCAGGCCCGCCGCGGGTCTTGTTCGTCCTCGGGCCTCGCGCCGCCCGGTCCTTGGCCGCCGCCTTCCTCTTGCCCACCGCCTCCTTCCGCTCCCTCTCCTCCTTGTCGTCCGTCTCCGCCTTCTCCTCCTTGGCGGTGGCCGCCGCGGCGGCCTTGGCGATGGAGCTCCGCTTCCGGCACACGATGATGGGCGCCGTCTTCTCCAGCAGCGACCCGACGTCGGCCTCGGCCTTGGCCTTCTTGGACGCCCCCGGCGGCCCCGCGGCCGCCTTCCCCGAGGGCCCCGCCGGCTGGTCCTTGGACATGTGCTTGGCGACGCGCGCGCGTCCGCGCCGCGGCCGAGTGCTCAGGCGAGCCGCGCGGGAAGAAGACCAGCGCGTTGGCGCACAGCAGGAGCAGGTCGCGGTAGAACTCAGTCGCCGAGGCGTAGCTCCCGGCCCCACCCCGTCCAGCCTGGACCTCACCGTCTCCAGATCCACGTGGCGCCTGATGGTGCTCCTGTATTTCGCGTCGTCCTGCGAGCAGCATTTTTGGGGCCATCGGTGAGTGGAAAAGCAAATAATAACCAATCGAGTGGCAAAGGAAAAATATCCATCCAAAACAGCCTACTAAAAATCAAACTGGTATAAAAATAAGTAAATCTAAATAAAACAAAGAATGGGGCACAAATTTTGTGCACAAAAGCAGGTGAAATGCTGTGCAGCACGTCACGTTAGCACGTGGGAGCACGATTTTTTCTCTCTGAAAAGAACTGTGGGGATATTTTAGTCCTTCAGCAGTCAGTATGCACTCGGCGGCAGAACGCAGCTATGGCCGACAAGCCGGGCCCACGCGTCGTTTTTTGAACGCCCACGTGGCGGGGTATGACTGGCCTACGCCCGAGAGGACCACCACCCCACGAACGCGAAACGCGCCTCACGCAGCGCCACCCACTCTCGCGCCTACACTTATCTCCAGGCCGGGCCCACGGATCGGACGGCCGAGGCCAACCTCGCCCCGGGCTGGACGGCGCGCGATCTACACGCCCCCGCGCCTCGCGGGTCACGGCCTCACGGTTGACGACCGCGCGTACGTGTACGCGCCACCATCAGCGCCCTGTTCCGTACTTTTTTAAGCTAACGAATACTATTTTTCTCCGACGACAAATCAGTAACAGTACTTTTTTTTTAAGCTAACGTGGAGGCCATTCCCACCGCCACCCGACCCGACGCCACCTCCGTACGACCGGCGCGGGTCCACTTCCACGTCGTGCGCTCGCCGGCGACGGCGACCAGGCGAGGTGGTCGCTTTTGCGTGTGCAAGCAAAGCGAAGCGAGCCGCGTCTAGGCCACCGGGAGAACGCGAGTGTTTCGCGATTTGGGGGGAGTCCCAGCACTCGCCATGCATAGCGCGAGATACTCGTAAAGCGTACTCCACTGACAGCTGGGTTGGGCGCTTGTGTTTGGACGGTTCCGTAATTTCAAAGATTTTATTTTTAATTACGCGCGGAGAAAAAATGGAGATTAGGGGAGGGGTGAACGGTGATTTTTTCAATTTTTACAGTTTAACCGTGTGTGTTTTTAGAGAAAAAACAACGGGACAGAGGATGATTTGTTTTTTACCTGGCTCTCGAGCCGGCGCTCGAACACGGAGCCCGGCTTGCTGGTCCGCACCGACTCGAGGAACGCGCGCAGCGCCTCGGCCTCCGCCGCGGGGAGGACCGCGGCGGCCGGCGGCGGTGCTGAGGCCTCCTCCGCCTCCGCGTCCTCTCCGGCGGCGATCTCCGGCTCGCGGCGGCGGGACGGGCTGGCCGAGCTCTGCACGTCGCTGCTCTCCTTCTCGGCGTCGTCCGGCGCCGTGCCCTTGGACCCGGCCACCGACTCGCCGGAGGCCTGCTCGCGCTTCACAGCCGACGACTCGCGGGCCGCGTCGTCTCCTGCCCCCTGGTCCTCCCCTCTCACCGCCGCGTCGCCGTTCCCGGCGTCGGCCGTGCCGCCGGCGTCGTCCGCCGGCCGCGGCCACTTCAGATCTGACGAGTTGGACTCCTTGCACGACCGCCCGGACTCGCCGCCGGAGACACGATCCTCCCCGACGCCGGCATCGTCCTCCTCCTCCAGCGATCCCTTCCCCGCCGGCGGCTCCTCGTCGTCGTCGTCGTCGTCCTCCTTCACCGCCGGTGGATTGGCCTCGCCGGAGATGCTCCTCTCCCTCTCCTCCTTGAGCCGTTCCACTTTGGATTGCAACGACCTGGCAAGGCACGCCGGTGGGGAAAAAAAACGAAATCAGCATTTCCGCTAGAAAAAACCGCGGCCGACCGATCAGCATCAGACGGCTGAGCTGAGCGAACCGGGCCGGCCCGAAAGCGTTTTAATGTTTTCACGTTAATATTAATATCCTGTCCAGGCTGGGGCGGGGTTTTTTTTTTTTGGCCATTTACCCGATCGAGAGATCGTATCGCTCGACCTCGCGGCGGAGCTCGGCGACGCGCAGCTTGCGGAGCTCCTCGACGCACCCGTCGGCGGAGGCCGCGTCGGGGTCCTCGTCGTCGCCGTCACCGCTTTCGGAGCAGGCGCCGGCGGCGAACCGGCGGTGGAGGAGGCGATAGCGGAGGCGGCACCCGGCGGGCGTGAGGCTGTCGGCCGCGGCGGGAGGGCAGCGGGACAGCATCTCCATGGCCACGGAGTCCCAGCTGGCCGTGCCGTGCTTCCGCACGGCGCACGCCAGGAGGAGCTCCTCCCACGTGCCCCAGATCTCGCCGCCGGCCGCCGCCGAGGTCCCCGGGGACACACCGGGATCGTCCGATCTGGCCGTCATCGTCCTCTCTCCCCTAGCCGTACCAGCTCCACGTCCCGGCGGCGGCGGTGGCGGCTCATAGCGCCGCCTCCATGGATTGGAATGGAATGGAACGAAAGGTGAGCTAGGGTTTGATTGGTCTGGCAGGTTGGGCTAGCCCCGCCCCGTGCCGTCGCCCCCCCACCCCTGCCTGCCAATCTATCTCCCTGCCTGTGTGGTTCGTCTAGGTTTTGGTTCCGGCCCCCTCCCCCACCACCATCTGGTCCCTTTCTCCCTCTCGTTCTCCTTTTCCTCTTTCTTTATTTGGTTTGGTTTGGTCTCGTTTCACGAATGGAGCCGCCGGTGAAGGGCCTCTGCGAAATTTCTGTGCCTCTACCGTGGGGTCTTTGGCGAAATGGGACCAAATTGAATTCTTCCAAATAATTCGTGTGCCCGGGCCTACCTACCACTCGCTATTCCATCGAATTTTCAATTCTCAAAATTCTCCCGGACATCATGGCGCCTGCCGACGTGGCAAATCGTGTGACGCTCTGTTGAACGAAACTCGACCGGCCCAATGATACTCGGTTGCTAATAACCAACCTCAGCCCGTAAAAATGGGCCAACCAGATGCGGTTTTATAATTAAATAGGTTTCCTAAAAAACAAAAATTAAATAGGTACAAATCGTTTTAGTTTTCTTGGGCAGATTCACCTCGCTGAATTGTGGCTGAAACTGGCTGAAAACACTGTTCTGGCTGAATTCTTACGAGAGAAAAACACTGTTCCGGCTGAAAAAATAAGCTGAATAGTGTCGTTTTTTTGGTAAGCCGAATAGGGCCATAATAGTTTCGTGACCACAATAATAGTCTGACAAGTTGATTGTTTACGTAACTTTACTTTCAGTGAATAGCTTCATGTGACTCTCTTGCCAAACACACTGTAGACTTCTTTTAACCATGGTTCTCAAGCTCTACTCCATCTATTCTTTGAACGGAAAAGGAAAGTACCGATGAGCTAATTTTTCAGTTTTAGAATCAGGAATGCTAAACAACGACCGAGTGTTTCACCTGGATTTTACACGCGATTTTGTAGCCAGTGGATCTGAGCGCGGAGGAGGGCGCGGACGACCGGATCTCTCCCTGCCGCTGCTGCCTTCTTCTTCCTCCCTTGCACTTGCGCCCGCCATCTTCTTCCCCAGCTTCGGCGCGATGGCTAGGGATGCGGCGAGCTCTCCTCCTCTTTCTTCTCCAACTCCGGATGGTATAGACGGGCCTGACTGGGAGGAGGTAGGAAGGGCAGGCGGTGGGGATGGTGGTCGGGTGGTTTAGGAGAGTTGGCGGTGGTTGCGACCGCCGGGCCAGGTCGGGGCGGGGGAGGCTCGCCGGAGCTGGACAAGATGGTGGCAGGTGAGCTCGCTGGAGCTGGAAAAGATGGCGGCGATGGGGGGAGAGTTAGAGGGAGGCTGCCCTGGACGCTAGGGTTCGCCGCATCTTTTCTCAAATCTGCTCGTTCTAAGGCCATAATCCTTATCGAGAGAGAGATTGTGGACGACAAAGAGGTCAAGAGGAAAGGGAAGGGGGAGGATATAAAACAGGGGTGAGAGGCAACGCTCCTAGCTGTTTTTCAGTCGTCATCGTGGCGACTCACATTGTTGAGACGAAAGACATGGTGATTTATAGAGGGTGTGGTAGGTGGGTTTGGATGGTGGAGAGAGGCTGAAGATAGGCAGAGAGGGAGCCGGGGGGAGGGTTAGGAACATGATTAGTTTATTACTCTTCATTAGGGAAATGTGAAAGGGTCACCTCAAGAGAGTAGGAGAAAGGAACTCATATGTGTGGAGATGAGCAAAATAGCTAATTTAGCCCCTTGACTTTGCTTGTCGATTCAATTTTGCCACTCGGTCTTAGATTATTCAATCTAGTTGTCGGATACCATGAGAAGGGGTACCCTAAGCAAGATCCAAAAAGCAGCGCTTAGATTTCGTAAAGATCGAAAACCATTAAACGCAGCTTTGGCCTCGGCCGATTCTCGATTCTTACCGAGGCCCCCTCACCACTGAGCCTCGGTCGATTCCCGCTAAAGGCCTCGGCCGAGGCCACCGAATCCCCGTCTCGCGCAAGGCGGGCTCGGCGACACTCCGCTACCTCTTCCTTCTCCCGTCCCTCTGGCAAAGCGTCAGTCGTCGCATCAACTCGATCAGCTGCTGCCTCGACAATGACCACATGCCCAAGACAAGACAAAGTGAGAATGGCCGATGGGACAGAGGCGGGATCAAGGCGGGGTTACCCGCCTTGTACTAACCACCATGCACATGGGTTGACGCCCATGCCTCACTATGTCGCCAACTCCCTGCACCGAGGACAATGCGGCGTGGGGAGCCACATCTGGCTACTGTGGCCTCGGAATCGATACCAGAGCAATAATTCCCTCAAGGCCTCGGCAGCTTGCTCCGAGGGGCTCGACGGCCCCAAGGACCCATGTCCGCCAAAGCCCCCATGATGGCTTGGCCTCGGCACCTCTGAGCCACAGCCCCTCACGACGTCATCACGCGATGACTGTGACGCCGTCCCCGGTTGGCGGGGTTACCCGTCACTATGCTATCCACCGTGCACATGGTTGACACCCATGCCTCATTTGTCGCCAACTCCTGCTCCAAGGACAACGCAGCATGGGGAGCCACGTCACAGGCTCTTTGTGGCCTCGGAAGCGATACCTGGGGCCAATAACTCCCCCAAGGCCTCGACAGTTTGCTTCACGGGCTCGGCGACTGAGGGTCCATGACCACCGAGCCCCCCACGATGGCTCGGCCTCGGCATCTGCAGAGCATTTGCTCCCTCACGACGTCATTACACGGCGACCAAAGACGTCGCCCGCCATGTCCCGCATCAAGCGCCAGACTGGAGCCCCACGACGCACAAGACCGAAAGTATGACCAAAGCATGTCACTTCCGCGCATGACCGGGGACGGGCCACTCCATCGACCATACCACAACGGTGGCCGACTACAGGGCTCGGACACGCCACCCCATTTACAGAAGCGCTATGTAGCACCCTGTGCACGGTCCCGGTCCTCCCTTAGAGTATAAAAGGGAGGGACTGGGGCCATTTCCGAGGAGGGGCCAGAAAGACGAACACGCCGATAGAACCACGCACTCCTGTTTGCTTGGGAACAACGCCTCAAGCAGCCCGCACCACACTCGCATGAGAGACAGGGGCTAGTTCCTCTCTCACCTAGCTTGTAACCCCCTACTACGAGCACTCCGGTGCAAGGAATACAAGATCGATCTCTCGGACTGGACGTAGGGCCTCGATTGCCTGAACCAGTATAAACCTTGTGTCTCTTTGCGCCACCATCCGGGATTAGGGGCACGCGGCACAAATTCACTCGTTGGTTGAGGGACCCCGGTTCCAAAACACCACGGCGTTAGCGGCGCCGGTAGGGGCGCCTGCGTGTCAGCTTCGTCATCCTAGCAAGTTCCGGATGGCAGACTACATACGACCATTGCGTCTCGGCACCATAGTTTGGTTGGGGAGCCTAGAGTTCATGTCTCTAGGGCATGAGTACGACATGGTGCTCCTCACTCCTCGAACCCCACCGTCCGACGACGAAGTCGCCCGGCGACCAGTCAGCGAAGCGGCGCCCGGCGGCCAGCTCGCCGCCACGCCGCCAGCACGACGCGAGAAAAAGGCCACTGACGCTTCTGCGAGCCAGGCGACACGCCTCTCCCCCGCCGATGTCCCTCGACCGGTGGAGGAAGTTCGGGACGTCATATTTGCTACACTCGGCCAGTACCAGCCAAGCCCTACGACGTTACCAAGCCCGGCGTCCGGCCGAGACACGAAGGTGGGCGACCTGGTCTTTGAGGATCGAGGCAAAGCAACAAGGGCCGCCACAAGTGACCCACCACAGAAGGGCAAGACATCGTCGCTCAAGTCTTTGAAGCCGGGACCTACAAGTTAGCCAGCGAGAAGGGCGAAATCTTCACCAACGCTTGGAACATAGAACGACTACGTCGTTTCTACCCTTAAAATTCCAAACGTTGCTTACATTGTTTCGAAATGCAATAAAGAAGCGTTCTTAGTTGTTATAACTTTTCGAGAAACCCCCCCTTATAGACTAGCCGATTGTATAGAACCCAAGGACCAGACGATCGTCTCAAAGCGAAAAAGGCCGGTGAGTAGTGAAAGCGGCTTCACGCCTCAAGACTGGCAACTCCTCACCACCTTTTCACCCAAAAGACAGGCAGAGGGCTCGAGGAAGTTCTCAGACAGAGAGCTTGTCTATCAATAGGGGCTCGACGTCACAATAGCGCTTATAAAGGAGACTGGTTGCCCGCCTCGCAAAGCCGGGCCTCCCTCGGGGCTAGAAAGGGGAACCCCTAAGTCCCGAACACCATTTGTTAATGGTCTTTCAAAAATTTCTCTCTAAAACTCTCTCTCGCTCGATGGGACCTTCACAAGAAACCCAAAGACCAAAAGTTTGTCTAGAGGCCAAAGGGCGGTCGAGACATGAGAACGGCCCACGCCTCAGGCTACTGGCAGCTCCCTCACCACCCCTCGGCCAAGGGCGGCTTAGGTCCCAAGGGTTTTCTTTGCGGGTTCCCAAGATCGAGACAGAGGCACTGAGCTCGGAAGTAGAACGAGAAAGCGATTAAAAAAGACGCACATACGCATAAATACTTTTAAAGGCCTCGACGGCCACAAAAACGCCACGATCTGACAACTAACTCAATCCGGTTACATGGCCCCTTTTGGCCCTGGTCAAAGCTCAAGGATCGGTGGGTTTGGCGGGAGGACCACCTCTTCTTCAAACAGACAGGCCCGGTACATTGTGCGGTGCCTCGGCCGCCTCCAAGCAGCTTCATGACCTCGCGATCCGCCTCCTCGTCATCTTACGGCAACACGAGCTGTGGCCCGACGACAGCCTCGAGGTTGATGGCGAGTGCGAGAGGAGCGACGGCCGTGTAGCGCTTGACACCCATGTGCAGCGCCCTCGGAGTCTCTCGCGGACGTGGCGCTCAACGCCAATCAAAGCGGCTC